CAAATACGTTCATCTCATAACCTTTCACACCATATATCACTTCACAATTACTTTCAATTACTTACAACATCATTATTTCATTGGCTCCCTTTGACATACATATTATTCTATATTTATGGCACTGTGTCCGTATATCATATTCCGCACTTTCATTTCTTTACTTTCATGGGTCATCATTAACAACAATATCAATAACAACCTAGTATAATCCCACTAGTGGAGTTTGGGGAGGGTAGTGTGTACGCAGACCTTACCCCTACCCTGGGGTAGAGAGGCTGTTTCTGATAGACCCTCGACTCCCTCCCTCCAAGAACTCCCCATCTTGCTCTTGGGGTGACTCGAACTCACAACCTCTTGGTTAGAAGTGGAGGGTTCTTACCACTAGAGTAACCCACTCTTGTCTAAACATCATCATAAACATCATCATATAGAATACTCTTGAAATACCTTTCACCCAAAAGGGCAATACACAATTTTAACTCATGAATATGTAATAAATCATAACATATTGGAAATACCTACCAAATATAACATTAGTTAGAACAACCACATTTGGACATGACTTGAGTACATAAGCTTTTGGATAATTCTATTTGTCAATTTGGAATAGTTGAATCAAGTCTCATTTCATAATATTTCACACATCATTTCGTTTCGTTGGTGCTATTGGCCACAAGTATAACTTTCATTCTTGGCACGGTGTTCATACTTTATATCCCTAACTTACTACTTTACACTTTATATCCCCAAATCACTACTTTTCCTTTCAAGAATTTATATAGATTATCGACAACAAAGAATACCTAATCACGACGTTTAGTATACCTATGAGCAATTAAAAGTCTTACGCACATTGAGACTTCTTACACAATTTGGCATAATATCATTCACTTGAAACACTACTTGGAGTCATAACATTTTTATACCCAACTCTCACTTTGAACACATTCCAGAAGGATAACACCATATGATAAAAGCATCCAGAACACATTTTGAACATATACCTTTCATCACAAAATTTATTCGGAATAGTTGATATATAAAGAATAACTCGGGACTTACAAGAACATCATGGAATTCAATTCTACGAAAGAAGTTTAGCCAACATACCTCGCTTTGAGCTTTCCTTAAATTACTACAACGTTCCGAAAATTCTAGAAATCCCAATCTATTTTGAGACATGACAAAATTAAACACAAATTAGGAAGGTATTTATGGTTCCAGTTCATTTGAGCATTTTATTAAACACTAGGTGTGCAAATTTAACTACAAGGTTCTTCTACAAGATTTCCTTCACTCCTCAACCCAATATTTACTTATTTGAGCTCAAAAATCTTCACACAAACCTTATTGGTACAAGCATATATATATATATATATATAATACTCTTACACCCAAGAATCATACTCCTAATCACCAATCTTTTACCTCAAACTCGAAATTGAAGACTATGGGTTTGAATCTTACCTCTTAGAGGAAGATCTTGTGATTGGCTTCCTTGATTCTTGAAGATTGGTGCAAGATTGGATGACTAGAATGTTAGGTTCCCTCCTTCTCTCTCTAAAATGCTCTTGCCTCTCTCTAAAACCCTCAGAAAATTACCCCAAAATAAGCCCTAAAGGCTATTTATCAAAATGGGGTCGGGTTATGAAAATAGAAAAATTAACCCTCCGAACTCAGGTCTGCGATCGCATAATGGACCGCACAATTGGTATGCGGGTCGCACAATGCACTGCAAAACTGATGCCTAGAAATGAGCTTCACTGGACAGGTCTGCGACCATTTTGCGGTCGCATAACCACTTCTGCGGTCGCAGAATTGGCCGCAGAACTGCATTCTGCTAGCCTTTAGTAATTTGGTCATAACTTCTTGTAAGAGTGTCCAAATGACGAACGGTTTAAAGCGTTAGAAATTAGACTCAAAGAGCTTTAATTTGATAGGTAATCTATCACATAAATTCTTTTATATATATATNACCCCACTTATAATATAACTCGTACACTCAGCATCATATCCAATTGATATCCATTATTTTAATAGTCCTCGTCTTCACACAAAATAATATATTTAGCGCACATCAACTTTCTTACTAGCGCTTAAGTACTTCAAAATTTTTCAGGGTGTATTGTACATCACATTGGTGTATGCCAACTATAAGGCTCATCTCAGGGAATCACTATGAGATAATATCGGTTCAGTCTCTGAAGATATTACTTCACCATGGATGGTGACTGAAGACTTTAATTCGATTATGGATCCCGATGAGAGGAAGGGGTAAAATTCATAATATATCTAAAAGCCTTCCTTTCATCAACTGTATGGTAAACAGTGGTTTGTTGGACCTTGGATATTCTAGCAATCCTTTCACTTTGCGTAATGGTTGGGCCCCTAGCAGGAGGATATGGGCAAGGCTGGACAGAGCACTAGTAAACTAATAATGGTCACATAGATATTCAAATACTTCAGTCTCTCATTTGGTCAGAACTGGTTCTGATAATTCTCTCTTGCTTATCTCTACAGCTAATCCTCAATTGGAGCCTAAGAAATATTTTTGATTCTTAGATTTCTGGACTGATCAAGAAGGCTTCCTACCAGTGATTGAACAAGCTTGGCAGATTCAGGTAGAAGGGGGTCCTATGTGGAAATTTCATCTCAAACATAATAATGTCTGTAAGAATCTTTCTTCATGGTCTAGAAACTCTATTGAGAATATTTTTGACAAGACCAAGGAAATGCAAAATAGACTTGAAGAGCTTGAGGATCGATATTTGAATGATAATTCAGAAAGTAATAGGATGGAGTACAACAATGTGAATGCACTCATCAGGCACATTAAGAATGAAGAATCCTTTTGGAGACAAAATATAGGATTGAAGTAGTATTCGGCGGGAGATAATAACACTAAATTCTTTCACTCTATTATCAACTCCAGAAGGAAGAAATTGCAGTTAACAAAAATTTAAAACAAGATGGCACCTGGATTGAGAATAAAGATGACATAGTAGCAGAAGTTGTCGAATATTTTGAACAACAGTTCACACAAGAGATCATATGCAGAGATTTTTCTATGTTAAGTCAGCTTCTTAGAGTAGATGACGATGATAACCAGGCATTGGGGGCCATTCCTACCATAGATGAAGTGAAAAAAGTAGTCTTTTCCATGAGCAACAATAGCTCACCTGGACCAGATGGTATATCTAGGAAATTGTTTCACCACTACTGGGATATTACTGCTGAGGATCTATACAATATTATACTAGATTTCTTTTCTAGAAGTGAGATCCCAAGATCTTTTACACTTACATATCTTGTTCTTATTCTGAAGATTGATAACCCACATCAATACACTGATTTTAGGACTATCAGCTTAAGTAACTTCACTTCCAAAATCATATCCAAATTGCAGAATACCAGGTTATCCCCTTTGATGAACAAGATCATCTCCCCTAACCAAACTGGTTTCATTAAAGGAAGATCCATATATGATAATGTCATGCACATACAAGAGCTTGTTCACAATCTAAAAAGGCCCAATACTAATGAAAATGTAGTGCTTAAATTGGATATAGCCAAGACTTTTGATAGATTTACTTGGGATTATCTTTGCAAAACAATGAGACAGTTGGGATTCTACGAATTTTGGATTGATATGATTGCCAGAGTGGTCTTTAACAATTGGTGTTCCATCAATATCAATGGAGTGAAACATGTGTTCTTCAAATCCTCAAGAGGTCTCAAACAAGGGGACCCACTATCTCCCTCATTATTTGTCATTGGTGCTGAGATTTTATCCAATATGATAGATCAATTGAAAAATAATAATTTCATCCCCTTCTCTGTGGACAATAAGAGCCCTTTGATCACTCATCTAACATATGTTGATGATACTACACTCTTTTTCTCTGGTTATCATCTTCTCTCCATTGCCATAATGATAAGGAAGTTAGAAAACTATGAACAAGTCTTAGGCCAAATGGTAAATAAAAGAAAATTTACTTTCTTGGTATCTCCTTCTACCCCTATCTCTGTCATAGAGGATATCAAAAGCATTACTGGTTTTTCCTACTCCCATTTTCCCTCTACATATTTAGGGTGTCATATTTATTTTGGTAGGAAGAGAATTTGTTATTTTGGAAATATGGTGGCCAAGATAGCAAATTGAACACAAGGGTGGAAGGAAAAACTTCTTTTTGTACTGTATTCATTATTATTGCATATCATATCTGTTGGGAATCCACCAAAAACTACCTTTTTATTTTGATAACTAATTAATTATTATTAATCACCAGTGTAAAGAATATAAAACTATATCATTGCTACAACTCAACAAGCTGTCTAAATTCAGAAACTAAGTAGAAACTTTCCCATAGTTCTAAGGGTAGTAGGCACACCTCCTAGGGACCCGGGTTTCCATACTTGCCCTCAAAGTAGGAGATTTCTCATAGACACTAATATTTCCAGGACTGATTTCTATACTCCTAGAATGGGCAAAGTTGTAATATTCTTCTAATATCAGCTGTTGCTCTGAGGTTGCACATATAGGAAATATCCTTAGCTATGACCTTCTCTGTTCTGCTCCGCTTTTCAAAGATCTGCTGATTTCTTTCGAGCCAAATGGTGTGGATATATTCAACATAGCACACTTTAAAGATGTGAGCTGCCTGAGATCTCCCCTTAGCATTCTTGATAGCCCACACTGAGTGTTGTTCCCATTTTATTGCTATATATGTTTGTCCTTTCAGCTATTGTAGCACTCTGTTCCATAGGTTTCTTGCAAACATACATTCCACAAAAATATGATCTCTCGTTTCTAAATGGTCCTGGCATAGGACACATTCAGGTTCAATACGTATACACCATCTGAGAAGCCTGCCATTGGTAAGTAGTCTTCCTTGGAAATGTAGCCACATGGTAAAAATAGCTTTGGGCCTGGCATCATTCCTGTACATAAAAATCTTCCAGGGAACTCTATTTTGAGTGCCAAGTAATTGCAGATACAGCTACCTTACCATACTACTCCATGCCTTCACAGTAATCTGATTCAACTGCACAGTCTCCCTTGCTTCAAAGATCTTCCTCAGCATCCAACTTGATTGTTTTGGTATGGCCATCTGATCTATTTGTTGTCCCTTTATATAAAACACGTGAACCCATTTAATCCACATTGTATCTTGCTTATGTGTAAGGTCCCAATAGTTTTTAGCCACTGCAGCTCTGTTCCACAAATGCAAGTTAGTGAGATTGACAACCCCCTCCCCCCTCTACATTTCTGTGTACACATCTTATCCCATGCTACTAAGGCCCTCTTAGTAATAAAGTTAGTACCCGACCAAATGTAGCTTCTATAATATTCCTCAATTGCCTTCATTATCTTAGCAGGAATGAGGAAGAATTGGGCCCAATATGCTTGGATGCCAAACATCACAGTCTTCACTAGTTGAATCCTCCGAGCATAAGATAGTTTTTTTGAAGTCCAATTAGATATTCTAGGAACCATCTTATCAATTAGTGGTTGCCACTGCATTAGGGATAGCTTCTTAGTAGAGAGGGGTATTCCCAAGTACTTAAAGGGAAGTTCCCCTTGGCCAAATCCCAGCTTGTGCAAAATCTGCTCTCTTTCTTTTTGGGCCATACCTCCAAAGTAAACTGAGCTTTTATCCATATTTTCCTGAAGACTAGAGGTAGTAGAAAACTCAGAAAAACATTGTTGGATAAGAGTAACCGATGGAAGATCACCTCTAGCAAAGAGAAGCAGATCATCAGCAAAACTTAGATGAGTGATTCCTAGTTTAGCACATATGGGGTGGTACTTAAACTCATTGTTCTCCTTTAAAGCATTTAGGTTTCTACTTAAGTACTCCATAGCTATGGCAAACAAAAAAAAAAGACATTGGGTCACCTTGTCGAAGCCCCTTAGCAGCATCAAATGGAGCAGATGGTTCATCATTGATGATTATAGAATAATTCACAGTTTGAACATACTCTTGAACCTATTTGGTGAACTTCTCAGGGAAGCCTTGACCCTCAATAACTTGCTTAAGATAAATCTACTCCACTGAGTCATAGGCTTTCTTCAAGTCTATCTTGAGAATACACCTCAGTGAGATATGTTTTCTAGTATATGCTTTCACAAGTTCATGTGTAAGAATAACATTATCAGCTATTTTCCTACATGGGATAAAACCAGCATGTGCATCACAAATGATAGAAGCAATGACTCTTTTGATTCTTGCAGCCAAGATCTTAGAGATTGTCTTATAGAGGACATTACAACAAGCAATTGGTCTGAATTCTCTCACTGTATCGGGGCTAGCTGTCTTGGGGACAAGTGTAACGGTTGTGCAATTAATGGTTCTACACATTTTACCAGTAGAAAAGAACTTTTTCACTGTTGTGCATCATTATCCTTGATTATTGGCCAAACTTTCTTAAATAAGTACCCATCAAAACCATCCACCCCCGGAGCTTTATCATCACCTATGGACCATAAACTCTCTGCTATTTCCTTCTCAGTAATATCTGTACACAATATCATCTATTGGCTATGTGTTAGCCTGGGGCCTTTTTATAGAGTAATTCTATTAACTGCTGGAAGTGTGTGTGCAGCAGTACCCATCAAGCCTTTATAGAAATTAATTATTTCTTCCTTTATGTCCTTAGGGTCAATCAATTTGATGCCTATGGTAGAGTTGAGTTCCATGATTTGTTTCCTATTGCTCCTTTCTTTCACAACTGCTGAAATATATTTTGTATTAGAATCCCCTAGTTGGATCCATTTAGCTATTGATTTCTGCTTCATAACACTCTCTTTAATAAATTACCACCTTTCTAAAGCCATTAGAGTGTCTCTTTCTTTCCCCATCAGGTGATCAAAGTAGTATATAGCTATCTTCTCTTGGATTTCTTGTAACTCAAATCTGTCTCTCTTAATTCTTTGAGTAATCCCTTTAAATTCTGCAGCATTGAGTCATGAAGGCAGGTCTAAGGGCCTTCAATTTTAGCTAGATTCTCTGCATCCTATTACCAGGAAAATAATTATGCTAAACACTCTTAACAATCTTCTCAAAATCCCCATGGTCCGCCCAAACATTAAAGAATCTAAAAGGCACTTTAGGGGCCCATTTAGATATCTTAATGTTGAGTAGCATAGGTGCATGATCAAAAAAATTGGGATTATCATATTCAATGCATATATGTCCCCAATTCAGCATCCAATTATTATTCCCAAATACCATATCCAGTCTGCTACATATTCTTTGTCCTCCTTATTATTTATTTGACCAGGTGTAGTATTGGCCTTTCAATGGTAGTTCAGTTAAATTCACATCCTTAATACACTTTGAGAAATATCTAATTTTAGTTGAGGAAATGGGGTTGCCAAATAGTCTGTCATTGGGATACAAATGCCATTAAAGTCCCCTCCTATTACCCAAGGCTTGGCACAATTACTTGCCATAGTAATGAGTGAGTTCCAAAGAGATTTCCTGTATTCCACAATATTGTACCCATAGACTATGGTCAAAACACATTCAAAACCATCCAATCTCCCCTTAACCATACAATGAGTGAATTGAGCCTCAATTTGTAAAACATCTACTGAAAAGATAGTATTGTCCCATAGTAGCCATATCCTACCATTCAATACATCATGATAATTGTGGTGAATCTCCCATCCAGGAACAACAGTAGTAGCAATTTTTCTAGCTTTAGACTCTTTAACTCTTGTTTCAAGCAAGGCAGCTAACTGAATATGATTTTGCTGCATATAGTAATTTAGCTCCCTTTGCTTGTATCTCTTATTGAGCCCCCTAACATTCCATACCAACCAAGTCATTGAGAAATAGAGTTCCCCCACTACTAGTGGGTGGTGGATTGGTTATCACATATTTCCTAATTCTTAGAGCCTTTAAACTCTTCTAAGCTGAAGTTGCATTTAGCTCTGAAAATTCCTTAGTGCACTCCAAAACAGGGCTTTTCATTGCGTAATAGCAACATTAGTAGTAGTTTGAGTAGCCTGCTGTTGTGAGTTCATTACTCATATGACCCCTGTACTGACTTGGCTAGTACTACTTGTCTACACATGTGTGAGAGATTGATTTAACTGGTTTGTGCGCTGCTCTGTCCCTTGATCATCTTTAGTATGCTTTTTGGGGCTTTGGGAATGAGTCCCTAGATCAGTGGTTAGATGAACAATCTCCTCTAACTGGGGATTGTCACCATCCATGTGTAATTCGGTAGTGTCATTTAGCTTGGTATGCTGGCCAACCTCTTTTGCTCTCCAAATTTGCGCAAATCTGTTAGGTTCAGGCTCTTGCTGCTGATTGGGATGTTGAGCTCTTCTAGCTTTTCTTCTTCTTCTAGGAGGTTCAAACTGCTGCTCTTCAGTTTCCTGTTGTGGCAAACAGATATGACCAATCTTTTGGCATTTTTCACAAAACTCAGGCTTCCAATCATAAATAATAGCTTGTTGGAAACATTTTCCATACGGATCAGTTACACATATCTCATCAGGTAGAGTTCTAGTAACATTATCTTGGATCAACATTCTTGCATATGATATTATGGATTGTTTAGTTGTATATTTATCTGCATTTAAGGCGATATCAATTTCACTAGCAATTCTTCTCAAAGAATTGTAGCTCCAACAGCTCATAGGGAGTTTAGGAAAACTCACCCATAGCGGGATTTCAGTAAGGAACTCATCATTTAGGTCAAATTCAGGTGTCTAAGGTTTTAGGATCAATGATCTGTTGTTGATGGAATAGGGCCCATCATAGAGGATTTCATTCATATACTCCTTATATTGGAACTTGACCACATATTAACCTTCTTCATAGAGGAAAATAGTAGGTTCAGCCACCTTGTTCCATATTTTCTTAACATACTTCTTTATAAAATTGTAGCCTGGGCAATTTCCAACTACATACACAATTAATGCACTGCTCTATTTTTTAATTTCTTTCTCAAATTCTTCTTTTTCTAATTGCAAAACTATATCACCATTGACTATAGTAGGAGGAATATAAGAGAGATTCATACCATTTTCAGCACTCCGATTACTAAAAAATAGGTTAACCTATACCCTTCTTCATATTGAAAAATCTCTTGCTAATTTTTTCTAGGGGTCTTCAGAGAGCAAGAGAACTTATCACTGGCTTTCTTGGAAGAATTTATATTATCTTAAAGTGGAGGGAGGGATAGGATTTAGGACATTTCATGACGTGTGCATCTCATTTGCTGTCAAAGCTTGGAGAATTTCAGAACTCATAAATCTCTTCTCACTCTCTTTTTGGAAGCCAAGTACTGCAAAAAATCTCATCCAGTTTTCAAAAAGAAGAACTATTCTCATTCTCACTCTTGGAGAAGATTAATAGATATCAGAAAGGAATACGAAAAATATATATTGTGGAAAGTGGGTAGCGACAACATTCCTTTCTGGTGGGACAATTGGACATACAAAGGTGCACTGGCCAAAGTAACTAATCAAGGCAACAAGTCTAAGAAGATTAAAGTGTCCGATTTCATATCACACAATCAATAGAATCTGGAAAAGCTCAATGATGTTTTCCCATCTAATCTGGTATCTCATATCCAGTCCATCAAGATCGCCAATGAAGTGAAGGAGCAACCTATTTGGCTTGCAAATAATAATGGTTCCTTTTCCAGTAAATCAGCCTGGAAGACCTTTAGAAAATCAAAAGGATCATCACTCACACTCTCAAAGATTTGGCATAGTAAAAACCTTTCAATGTGTCATTCCATATTTTTAGGTTACTGAATGGTAAATTAGCCACATATGATGTTTTGGTTAAATTTGGTGTGCATGGTCCTTGAAAATGCTATTGCTGTCCTAATGGCAGTTTTGAATCAATTAATCATTTTTTTTTGTGAAAGTATGATTGATGGGAAGGTTTGAAAATATTTTCAAGATGCATGTGGATTGAATATAGAATCTACAGGAGGCATAAGAGGTAAAATCATTAGATGGTGGCTTGTTAATCCTCAAAATAAAGTTCAGGAGATGATACTGTAGTGTCTTCCATCTATTATTTGCTGAAAAATTTGGAAGTTCATATGTACTTTTAAATATGAGGGAATTAGTAGCACAACGGGCAGAATCATTAAAAAAATAACCTTTTTGATGCAGATGTTGCTTTCTACGCAATTTCCCTCTCTATCTTTTAACTCGACTTTTCCCAAAATTATTCAAATGGTTGATGGGATTAAACCCAAGCTAAGCATTACTCCAGCAAAGTGGAAGAAACCTGGTAGTACCGGGGGTGGTGAAATATTACGAGATCATCTTGGTCATACGATCATGACATTCACTATATATCTTGGTTCTTGTTCAAATAATTCAGCTGAGGTACATGCAATTAAAAGTGGGATGAGATGGTGCTTAGATCATGGCTTCAACGGATTAACAATTGAATCAGACTCATTATTTGTTCTTCAAATGATAAATGAAGAAATCTCTACATCATGGTAAATCAGGGAGGAGATCAAAGAGATTGAATCAATGAACTTAGAGGAACAATTTCAATTCATTCATACCTTTAGAGAAGGCAATATTCCAACAGATCTTCTAGCCAACTTAGCAGAAAAGGACAAAAAGAACCAGTTCTTCACTAGGGATATAAACTTGTCAAGGAAGATTACATCTTCAATGAAGAATGATGAGTTAGGAAGACCAAACTTTAAAATTAAGGTGAGGAAGAATACCTTCATCTTTGATCCTGGTTGAAAGCTTAAGTTGGTGCTAAGTTTCATACTTAGCTTTCTTTTTGTCACCTTAAATGTTAAAGGAGCAATCCTCCTCTTTACTTAAGCTTCTCTAGGAATAAGTTAAATTGTAAAGATAGA